CTGCGTAGCAAGCGTTTCTGTGGGGTTCGGGAGCAAAGAATTACAGCGCGAAAAATGGAGCGAGTAAAAGAGGGGGGAGGGGGAGGGGAAGGAAGGAAACCCCCTCTCCCACCCCCATCTTTCTCTTTTTTGGTTCTCGCCCCATTTTCCGCGCAGACAAAACACCGAACATCCCGTTCCTCAGTCTTTCTTTGCTTCCAAACCCCACGGAAACGCTTGCTACGCAGGTTACGACAGCTCCATTTCAAACGACATTTCAAACGGAGTTCCAAGCGGCCGTACTCACTTGTGAATTTATGGCAAGGAAGCTGACTTGCAACAGTGCTGAAGTTATTTCTACCTTTTTGTCTTGAGCGATCGGTAAGTAAGTTTATCGATACTACTTTAAGCTTACTTGTTGCCACCCAGAAGTCGTTATGCAAAAGGCACGGGAAATCGGGGGCCGAAACGAAACGATACTGGAACGCAGATTTCGGCGATGCTTTGAATTGTGATCGGCTTTTAAGCTTACTGTGTTGCTTTAACTGCATACCGTCATCTCTGCCTCGGACTTGCGGGGAAAATTTCGCTTAAAGGGTCGTCTTAGAGCGACGGTTTAATTAATACAGAAAGTGGAAAGAAAGCTTTGAAGCTGCCCGAAGTGGCTTTGTTTTACATGAAAACGTACTTGGCACAAAATATATGGACGAATTTCTGCTTGAGCGTAAGCAAATATCTTTTGTTGTAGCTCTACTATTAGGTCCTTTTGTGTTGCCATCTTCAGTGTAACTTAAATAATGCGATGACAGATTTACAAAATCTTTTATGTTCTTTGTGACAGACATTTTAATGGCCATCGCCGGCGTGCCCCAGGAATCCAGCGGGTTTTGCAGTCGCTACCCTAGTTAGTAAATGCAAGAATCAGGATTTTCAGTTTGTCTAACAGTGCGCTGACTGTGGAAGGCGTTAAAAACGACCTTAGCGAACGAGCGAGCGTACAACAATTAACAATACTCCGCCTAAACAAATTTGACCGTTCGAATCTATTGTTAGTCGATGCTGAGTAATTTGTCGATGTAAATTATAAATTGACAACAAATCGCAATAACAATACTGATTATGACTGAGTACACAAATACATTGGCGTCAAAATCGATAAAATGCACACTGTTGTGGTTGGTGAAAGAGACTTGTGAGTGGTGGAAATACATGTTTATGTTAAAAGTTAATTCTTTTTAAACCAAATTTTTAAAGATAATTTCGATACACATTTTCTTCCTTTTCATTGGCCGAGACATTCTCTCCTAAATCAATTATTTGCCTCAGCCTTGCGTTCAGGAAGTAATAATTATTGATCTGCTCGCCACTGACAAATCACAATATTTTGCTCAACCTGACGTCCAGTTAATTATCGTGATTGTATTAGGTAGTAGTGAAATACTAATACATGTTATATCTAAATTCTTTGTCATTCTTAATTTTGCCTGTGTGATCAATCAATGACAAATCAATGACGGTATTGATTTCTTTCAGAAAATGGCCTTGTGACAATTTTTTTAGTGAATTTGTATCTTTTAGACCTTTTGTATTTTTACTTATGTACTCTAATAACAGGACCTCCTTTGATACCAGTGTTTATTACACTGATGGGGTTATCCTGTACTGGTATATTATTATTATTATTATTATTATTATTATTATTATTATTATTATTATTATTATTTTTATTAATGGATGGCCAATGGAAAATCACAACCTCAAGTCCTCTAACTGCTATCAATTGTCATTGATTTTTGTTGACTATTTGATTATCGTTTTTTAATGTTTTGAATCAATTTGCAGTCAGTAATATGGCATTTTAGTTCCGTTCATGGTTGCATACGTGTCTGGTGACTTTAATGCCCTGGCTTTTACACGAATCCAGGACACAGGTCAAGTTGTTCTCACTATCTCTTTTTAATGAGCAGAATAAAGGCTCAGTGCATACACTGCATTATAAATCTTCTTATTATGTGGCTAGCTCCGTGAATGGGCAAGATAAATCAAATCCTGTGCTGTGATTGGCTACCCGATTGGGCAAGATGGGGCTATCTTGCCCACTCGGGACTACCCGCCATGTCCCGCAAGAAAAATTTCTCTGAAAGCTTTGTAATCCTTTATTGACCAAACTTTTTTGGTCCAGACAAAGTTGATAGAGGGGAACGGTTATGAAACTCGACAAAGTTCTTTGTTGTATGTTTTTGTTCGCTTTTTTGGCCTTGACGGTGCACAAAACACAATAGTTGTTTACTCCGCACTGAGGAACCAACCAATAGAAACGTGTTGGTTGTGTAATTCATGCATAGTGTATGAGCGCAAAACAAAAGTTTGTGCACTGTCGGGACTTTCCGACATAAATCTTGGCATCTTTGTTTACTCCTTTGATGTTTGCTGGGCCTCACAACCAGTCCCCTCTATTAACTATGGTCAAGTTGGCTGGATATTGGCCTTGTTCATTTTTTGCAAGTTTATGGACCTCGACTCCATCTCGGTCCATAAACTCGCAGAAAAAGAACTTGACCAATATCCAGCCATCTTGACCTCACGCTTGGTCAACAACCCATATGTACATTTCTTAGCCACTGGTCCTTTGCAAAAAGCAATGTGAAATGACTAAGTTCTGCGTATTTTGGGGAACGTGAATATAATGACAGTGGCTGATTTTTCTTATAATCCGTCAAATATTGAATGCCTTCAATCTTTCATCTTTCGTTAAAAGGAATTATAACCTTCACATCAGTTGGAACACATGAAGAAAATGGGCACAGTACTGTATATATTGCCATTCTGAGTTTGAAACTGTGAACAGTCCTTGTCAACCAGAGAAGCTGCAAACACCAACTGAAACCCTTCAACCCTTAAATACTGTCCGCACCAGTGACTTCTACTGCTAGCAGTAATCGAAGCTGTGGCTTGTTGCATTTCCCTCATGGGACGGTGGTCACAGTTAAGATATCTTCTGGTTTCCTGCATGTTAGGTCTTCTGTTTTTAGTGGCATTTCATGGTGAAGTGAATTACCTCTGGAAAAGACTACCACATCACAGTACTGATCAGTAAGTTCTTTATTTCTTGGAAAATTCCAGTTTTTGTTGTGCTTCAACTGTTATAATTTTTCAAATACTGTTCAATTGCGGCTTAAAAATGATGAATTCTATCAGTGGCATTCTCGCCGATGTTAAACAAGCAGACGGTGGGTTTCAGAGGTCAGGAGATGATCCAAAAAGTTAGAACTAGGGTTGAGAATCATTTTGTAACACATAGGGTTTCATGTTAATCAGAACAGTGTTTACACCTTGAGACTTGGCCAGCTGGGAGAGGGTCAGGGGCAGATTAAAGGGAGCTTGCCCCTAAAGGCACTGTTGCCATGACAGCTATAGACCTGCTTTTCAATCTGAATTCCAGGGTCTTCTGCAGAACAATGTCCAACCAGTATGCAGGTCATATATTAAGTTTAAATCCTTTTGGGAGGACTTGGACATTTTTATTTAGATTAGATTGTAAGGTAAGGTAAAGGTAAAGTCTGCATACGAGCCAAGTGGCCCATCAGGCCAGAGCTTATCCCGGTTTCTGTAGCATGAAGCGACTAGGAGTATTTC